TAACAAGGATACATCTATTAGGGTGTTAGTGGCACCAGCGGCCGTGTATGGTCTTGAAATCCATCAAATGGATGTTATAAACAGCTTTCCTAAATGGAGAATTGGAGGAAGAGATTTACATGGAACAACTTGAGGGTTTTGTGGTTCCTGGTAAAGAAAAGAAAGTGTGCAAACTTATTAAGTCGCTTTATGGACTTAAACAAGCACCCAAACAATGGCATGCAAAATTTGACCAAACAATGTTGGCAAATGGATTTAAAATCAACGAGTGTGACAAATGTATTTACATTAAAAATACTCCAGGTCATGAAGTCATTGTTTGTTTATATGTTGATGGCATGTTGATAATAAGCAAAAGTATGGCAGATATAAATGCTACAAAGCGCATGTTGGCTAGCAAATTCGACATGAAAGACTTAGGAGTTGCTGATGTGATCTTAGGAATCAGAATTCACAAGACTACACAAGGTCTACCATTATCACAGTCTCACTACATTGAAAAGGTACTTGACAAGTTCAAGTATTTGGATTTCAAAATTGTCAAGACTCCAATTGACGTGAGTTATGCACTTCAAAAGAATGAAGGTGAAAGTGACTCACAACTGAACTATGCAAGAGTATTGGAAAGTTTGATGTATATCATGAATTGTACGCGACCAGATATAGCATGTGCTATTAGCAAACTGAGTCGGTTCACAAGTAATCCCAATCAAATATATTGGATGGCAATGAAACGAGTTTTGGGGTATCTGAAACATACCCAAAATTATGCTTTGCATTATAACAAATATCCTTCCGTGATCGAGGGATATAGTGATGCAAATTAGATCACCGGATCATCTGAAGTTAAATCCATGAGTAGATATGTTTTCACAATTGGGGGTGGAGCAGTGTCTTGGAAATCATCCAAACAAACGTGCATCGCCCGTTCTACAATGGAATCTGAATTCATAGCTTTAGATAAGGCCGGTGAAGAAGCTGAATGGCTCCGGAATTTCTTGGAAGATATTCCATTTTGGCCCAAACCTTTGGCACCTATTTGTATACATTGTGATAGTCAAGCGGCAATAGGTACGGCAGAGAGCGTTATGTATAACGGGAAATCTCGTCATATTCGACGGAGACACAATACCGTTAGACAACTACTCTCTAGTGGTGTTATCACAATGGACTACGTAAAGTCAAGAGATAACGTGTCGGATCCACTTACAAAAGGCCTATCTAGAGAGGCAGTTGAAAGATGATCAAAGGGAATGGGGTTAAAGGCCTAGGACAAGTCATCTTGGCGGTAACTCTACCTAGCAGACTGGAGATCCCAAGAGCTAGGTTCAAAGAGATCAAACAAAGTTATGAATGACGGTTAACATTGTCAAATAACTCAACCCATTCTCGTGATGAAGACAATGTTCAAAAATGAGGTAAAGCATTAAGGCTTTTTGATAAGTCAATAAAGCTTAAAGCTTTTTAATGATTTGCTAAGTCTGGCAGGATATGACCAGATAGTGTGTCTTTAGGATTACACGTTTAGGAATCACCTATGTGAGTGTGAAGTGTAAGCCTCTTCAAGGAGAATGAAAGTAAAGGCCCATTCTCTAAGCACTCATGAAACCAGGCGGTGTTCATGGCTGAAACGAACACAACCGTGAGAACCATAGATGGTTAAGGATTGATTGTGTGACTTATGTTGTCTAGGTATACAACAAAGCTCGACGGTTCAAAGATATCAAATCTACCGATTGATCGAGTATATCCGATATAAGTTCACTACGGAAAGTTCAAAGGGAAACCTACTTATCCATATGCAATTAATTCTTGCATGTAAAACACAGACGTCCGTGCATTCCTTTAAGTTTATAGCCATTCCCCATTCATATGGGGGATTGTTGGATTTTGTTGTTTAATAACAAATGAAGTGTGAATGGAAAATGGTGGGAAAAGAAATGGAGGGAAGGAAAATTTTGAATGAGTTCACTAATGCACTTTGTCCCTCATTGGTAGAAAGAAAGAAAATCTTTGTGTATATAAAGAGAAGCTCATCTTTTAGCTCTTAAAGAGCTAAGAAGAAGGCAAGCCTCGCGCCGTCGTCGTCGTCGCTCGCTCGGCTCGGCTTCGGCTTCGGCTTCGGATTGATTGATTAATCTTTTTGGACAAAATTCTTTTCAAATATTTAATTAATTAATTAAATTAATTAAAGAAAATTCAATCGGAATAACCCATGGCCCACGACCCGGTCCGGTCCGGCCCGTTTTTCTTTCCCGAATTATTTTAAATCCATTTTTACATTTCCTGCAATATTTTCAACAGCTATGGCTGTTCTGGAACAGTGTCACACCTGTTCCAACAGCCATGGCTGTTCTGAAAGGTTGCAAACCTTTTCAGAAACAGTACCAAATTGGCTATAAATATTCCTTCAAATCCCAGAATATTTACTTACGAAATTTTCTGATAATCTTTTTCTTCTGCACAAAATTCCAGTGTGTTTTACAGCCTTCAAGTGGTTCGCTGTTCATCGGCGTTTTTGGTACCAACACTCCGGTGAGTTAAATCGTTCTATCCTGGGAGGATATATTCCAGAACCTCGGATACTTGAGGGGAATAATTTCCTTAAGGACACACTGTGTATTCAGTGGGCTCGATTTGTTCCTATACCATTTTCGAAATTTATTTTGAAGTTCAAATACTGCTTTTTCATAATTTATTTCTACTAACTTTCTGTTTCTTTTTTCAGAAAGATTATTGTTTTTATTTATTTACAGCAATACAGATTAATAACAGTGAGCATAATTGACCCCAATTTTAAACAAAGGGCAAATATATATTTGCAGACCATAAAGGCAAATTTTCTCATTTCCTCATTATTCAATGTTATTAACTTATCCGCTTGATTCTTATTTTTCAATTTTTCTCATTTAAAATGAAATTTATTCGTTGCATAACTAAGTTCATAAGAAAAATAAGAAAATGAGAGAAAATATCATGATGAGGGAAGGTAATTAATTTTCTTATTTCACATCTTATAAGTAGGGTGTCAATGCATGGTATTTTAAAAACCGATTGAACCATTCAAATTGAACGGTATCGAGCCGATTTTTGGATTTTTTTTTTTAACAAAATTATAAGTTTCGTTATAAATATGACACTGTATACACGTGCAACACATGTGCCGAGGAACTAATTATCGAAAAATACCTAACCAAACCGAATAGTTGGATAGATCTTTAAAATACCGAACCAAACTGAATGGTTTCTCTTTTTTGTTTCTCATTCTTCTACTATATTTTTTCTAAACTTTAGAGTTGCTTCTTCCAGATATATGATAAGACAAATAAGTGTTAAATACATTTCAGATTGTTTCGTCCAACAAGAAAGTGAATACCCGGGGAGTTTTTCTTCAACTAGTCAAACAACCAAGGAACACACAAAAGCTATAAAAAGAACGTGTTTTAATAGTAAATATTTTGCATCATCTGTAAGGATCTTGTTTACTATATTAGGCATATCCATTTAATTGTGAGAAATCAGTTCTCTGATTATGAATTCGCAAGTTCCATTAACCATTATGGAACATGTATTAAAGAAAATATTTTCTATTGATGAGTTTTCCTGATATGTATTTATTAGTGGATTCTACGCTGATTTTGTTACGATCTTATATGGAGAAGACCTATGCGAAGTAGAACTTCACCATTTACTCTTCCTGCTCCCAACCCTGGTAGAACAGAGATCATCCAAATGAAGAATTTATTCAGCAACGCAAGACCTTTCATTGCAGCAGTCTTTCTGCAATTTGCTCTAGCAGGATTTGATATCCTTTCAAAAATTGCTCTGAATGAAGGATTGAGCTGCTACGTATTTACTGTCTATCGACATGCTGTGGCCACTCTCGTCATTGCTCCTTTTGCGGTATTTATAGACAGGTATATACACCTCTCTCTTCCTGTGTTTAGTTAACATGTTTGAACTTCGTTTCTAGCCTAGATATCAGTTAAAGAAAGACAAATACAAAAAGTCATGTGTGCTTAATTATCTTGTCTTTTTATAGGAATACAAGACCAAGAATGACTCTTGCAATATTTGCTAAGGTGGTAGCTCTTGGCATACTAGAGTAAGTCAAACATTAAAATCATTTTTTTCTCCTCCAAGCAATCAGTATCTAAACATTTTCGTCTTGACCAATAGGCCAGTCATCGGCCAGATTTTCTACTCTCTAGGCTTGAAATACACAACCGCAACTTTTAGTGCTGCAATGGGCAACATTCTTCCTGCCATTACTTTTATAATGGCTTGGATATGCAGGTAAATTATACGCTTGTCTCGTTCACTCTGTATTTGAATCAAACAATTAAATTTTGTTCTCAAAGGGTCAACGTGATCAATTTAAGACCAAATAAATCATGTTCATTAGAATTACATATGGAATAGGATAACAAAATCAGAATGCTCCACTGAGGGGAATTAATCTCTATGAAATGGGTAACAAAACCATCGTCAAAAGATTGAGGGGCCCCTTTTCAATCAGATTATTTACCCTTGAGATATGCTAGTAGTAAAAAAACTAGCTATAACCAAAACTCGGTGGATCAATTCCTTTCATACTGAAGTAAAGACTCAGTAAGAAAAAGAAATATAGAGCGCGAGAGAAAATGAAAATTATGTAAAGGAGGAACTCAAAATATTCTGGCAATTATAGCCACTCTATGAATCATGCTTTGACATTCTAATAAAATCAAAACAAGTTGTCACATCCTTCTTTGATTTTAATTCTTGACAAATCTTAAGCTTCTCTCTCTGCGTTATCTTGTTAAAGTATTATGCTGATAAATAAGATTACGAAAGGACACATTAATGCTATTTGAGATCTAGAATATGGAATTAGAGATCTCTATGGGCCTTCTTGCATTAGATGGGTTCTTTTAGTCTTTCTAATACACTGCGTATTAAGGAGTATTTTTTGCAACTGAATTTCGTTTTACACATATTTTGTTTATTCTAGACTTGAGAAGATGAAGCTTAAAAGCATTCGCAGCCAAGCCAAAATAATTGGGACAATTGCTGCAGTTGGAGGAGCCATGATCATGACGCTGGTACATGGACCACTTCTTGAACTTTGGACAAAAGGAAAGACCAATCATGAATCTCAAAGTGGTGGGGAGAATCCAAATTCAAATCATCTTATCAAAGGTGCCATCCTGATTATAAGTGGATGCTTGAGTTGGGCTGGCTTCATAATTTTGCAGGTAATATAGATAGTACTAACTTAGTTACAGATAAGTTGTTTGAATTAAGCAACAAATCTGACTCTCCTATTGCTCTATGCCTAGGCAATCACACTGCGGACCTATCCTGCTGAGCTCTCGCTCACTGCGTGGATATGTTTTTTGGGAACAATTGAAGGAGTTATAGTAGCAATGATAATGGAGAGAGGAAAGAGTACAGTATGGGCCATACATTGGGACGCAAAGTTTTTAGCAATTGTATACAGTGTAAGTCAAATTCATGCTGATCGATCAGATCTTCCTTCTTCTTTTCTGATAATGGTATATATAGACATTTATATAACGATCAACGTTTCCTAGCAACTCCAGGAAGAAAAACTTTGCCTCTGCAATACGAGAGAAGTAATAAAAGAATCTAGAAGCATAGTTTTTCTGATCACTAATAAATTAAAAGCTCTTTACTTTCCATGTCTCAATCCAGGGAATATTGTGTTCAGGAATCACGTATTACATACAAGGAATCGTAATGAAAAACAAGGATCCTGTTTTCCTGACAGCGTTCAATCCATTAAGCATGGTTATTGTAGCTGTAATGAGTTTATTCATTCTACGCGAACAAATGACCCTCGGAAGGTAATTCTTGTAACCCTAAAAGTACTCTTATAAGAGTTGCAACCAACACTAAACGAATGTAACACTTTATTGCAGGATACTTGGTGCTATTGTCATTGTTGTAGGCCTGTACATTGTCCTGTGGGGTAAAAGTAAGGATAACAGCACGGACAATAGATCTCCATCAACAGATGAACAATTACCAACACAGGAACAAGCAATTGGCGTCGCAGGCTTGGATATTAATGAAGAGAAGAAGGAAGAATATGGCGGAGAAGATACGGAGATGGGGAGACTAGGGGCACCACAGCAGTAAAGAGGAATCAAAACCCCACTCAACCCAGAGAATCTCATCATGCAAATAAACAATCTCCATCATCACATTAAAGCCAAAATATTTCTTTGAACCTGCTTAAGTTTAGGGTGAAAGCATAGCCATTAAGGAAAGATTTCCAGCAAAACATAGTCTACCCTTCGTAAAAATACGCATTTAAAAGAAAAATATATTTTTCTTTGAACCTGATGGACAGGTCGGATTAAATTGATATCAAATGCCAGCACCTCATTTCAGAGTGTAGAAGTACTTTTGTTGGTTTCTCCTATGTGGAGATGAATTTGAAGCGGTCCAATTTCTTGGTAAGTATTTTAATGTGAGTACCTTACTCCATAGATGATCTTTGTTTTTAATTAATCTCCATGATAATCCCATCATGAGCAAAGACATTCTTTTCTAATTTCATCCCACTTATTCCTACTTCTCCATATCATTCTTTGGTGTGTTATTCCAATTCAAGAGGTAGATTTTTCTGTTTAGTTTCATTAATGGAACGCCAAAATAGAATTTCTTTGAATTTTGTTTAGTTCATCTCTTATTGATTTTTGGGACCAAATTGTTTTGCATAATATGATTAGAGATGGAAGCAATGGTAGCCAAGTGAGGTTGGTTCTTCCGGAATGTTAAGACAACTATAGTTTTTCAACCGTTCAGTTAATTATTAACCTTAGCAGTGATTTCGTTCTTGATATTTTCACGGACATTATATACTATTGATGTACAAAAATGTGAATTTTATGCCTCGAAGGTATCCAAATATATAATGCTATTGTATAAGGGAAACCTAACTACTTTCCCATATTGATAGTATCTGATTTCGTTCTTGATAGATTCACAGGCATTGTGTACTATCGACATACAAACTGTGAATTGTATGCCCCGAAGGTATCCGAATATATACTAATACTATTGTGTAAATTTTTAAGGGGAAAAATTTATAAATGGATACCAACCGATAAAAATTTTAGATCGATTGATTGATCATGAAAACTTCCAAATTTTGAGTTTGGTTTATAAGTTAAGGTAATAAACTAATAATAGTCTAATCCTATTAACAAACCACTTTTTGCGATTATTTTATGGAGCTTTTTTCTTCTTCTATCGTATTGAATGAGTAACTTTCATTATTTACTATTTAACTTCATCATTTTATTCAAAATATGCTTCTAGCTTTTTCACAAGCATAATATTTATAGTTGTTTACCCTTAAAATTGTATAACAATTAAACTTATAATGTTGTTTTAAGGACACATGATTTCACCTAATATCAATTGATAAATATGAAGATCAATAATAGAAATTAACAATAAGATGAAGCAAACCAGTGTTTGATCGGAATTCAGCCCTCGAGCTTGAATACCCTCGAACTGGTTGGTGCAAGAACAGTTAAAAATATAACAAGCTGAGGAACAAGAATATAAACTAAAGAAAGGCGTTGTATTGCTTTGATATCTCAGAATGTAAAGTTCTTAAAAAATGATTAGAAGCCTCTTTATATAGCAGAGGAATCCTTTCTATGGTACAATTCTAAATACGGAAGTAAATCCTATGATTAGCCTAAACAACCGCCCTTGATTTGATCTGTTTCGAGATTTCCGCCATGATCTTCGACCAGTCACGGATATCTCGCCTTTCTGTTATTGCGCTTTGCTCGAAGTCCGCCCTATTTGGTCCCGATCGCTACTATCCTCGATCTCGACAGGCACCTCGATTCTCGAACTCGGTACCTTATCCTCGTGCTTTGGTCTGATCCGCTACGAGGCTGACCTTCGATGCAACTCCCTGGTCTTGATCAAATAGTAAAATCGGGTAAGCCCGATTTTAACCGTATACAGATAGTCCCCTCGTGTTTTGGAGTGTAATGAGAAGAAACGAATTGAGCCTTCGATTTTGTCCCTCGACCTGTCATGACGTCATCCTCGTGACATAAGCGACGGAAGTGATTGAAACGTCCCGTCAATACAGTTCAAAGGCACTGGCTACCAGTGCCTTTGAACCGTCGTCGTGAATCCCTTAAATAGGACCCTCTCTTATTGATTCAATCTTTACTTTCACTTTCTTCTAATCTCTTAAGCTTTTACATCTCTTAAGTTCTTCCTTTCTTCAAAATCTCTAGGATTTGTTGTTAATCCCCTTTCAAACACCAAGTCTTGTCATCTCCCTCTCTCTTTAAACTTACACAAAAATGGCAAAAAATGTTCCTCAGAAGGAAAAAGCTTCCCCGTCTAAGTGGGCCGGTGAACAGCCAGCGGCGAAGCCACTCCCCGAAGAATTTTTTTCCTCCGCCGTGTGTCCTTGACTCCAATTTCAAAGTTGAAAAGACCTTCTTGGTTCCGGGACAATGTGAGCTGATGTCGAGGTACATATGCACAATCACCAGTGGCCTTTTAAAGCAAGTTAAAAGGACTGCAACTGGGTAGACAAGCACGTGGTGGTGCTCTCGCCCGAAGAGTCGATCACTACGCATGTGGATGGGTATTTGAGTGTTTATACCTACCCTTTCACATTCAGTCCTGTAGATCCAATATTGTGGACTTCTGCAAGAGGTACGAGGTCACCCTCGGCCAGATTCATCCTTGTTTTTGGAGGATAGTGACATTGCTTCGATTTTTCGTGAGCAAAGTCGAGGGGCTTCCGTTCACCCTCGACCATCACATTCGTCTGCATAGCCCCCGACTTTATCTAGGTGGGCTGATAAAGCTTCAACGTCAACCTTCCAAGGCGGTCTTCTCGAGCACGGATAAGGACAAGGACGAGGGTTGGTGGGTCGATGTGTCCGAGTGAAGACCTCGGACCTGATCCCAGCCGAGAGCATGCCATTTCTAGAGAAATGGAATATGAAACGTGAGTATAATTCTCCCTTCTAACTTCTATTTATTATCTCCTCTTTTTTCATCCTTTCTTACCGGTGTTTTACTTGGTGCAGTCGTTGCCTGGATGCCGGGTGCGATTCCTCATCTAGAGAACTGGGTCAGGAAATTGGTGTCGACGTCTACGCACGCTGAGCGCGTATGGCGTGAATTGTCGAAGGGTCAATGGGAGGCCCAAAGGCATGGTAAGTTTTCGCATATCTCGATATCTTGATCGTTGCCTGAATTTCTCCTCATGCTTGTTTTCCTTTTGCAGGTCTCGGAAAGGATGTGCCGATGATGCCTCCGTCTGGTGAGGAGGAAACTTCGCTCCCGGCCCTGAAACCGGTGAATGGCAAGAAGAGGAAAAGGATCTCAACTTCTGAGTATCCAAAGTCCAAGAAAAATTTGGCTCGTAAGCCAAAGAAAGACATCGCCGTCCTGCCTGCGGGGGTGGTTCAACGGCTAAGAGAGGAAGAAGAAGAAAATAAAGACAACGGCTTCGAGATGGTGGCCCGAGTGAAGAGGAACACTGAGGCCCCCAAGGCCTCTAAGTCGGTGAGGTATGGAAAGATTCAACCTCGAACCGAGGGGGTCTTGAAAGAGGACCCGGGCAAAGTTCCCGAGTTGTTGGAGACTGAAGATGCCTCCCGCCGAAATGAGCAGTGGCGGGTGTGTCCAAAGGGACCGGCTCTGAGGCCCTTCGAAATGAAGAGAACACCCCAAGTGATTCACTTGGGGCAATAGAAATCAGAGACTCACTGCCGCTGCCTTCATTCTCGGAAGGGGAAGTTTGGGAGGCTCAAGCCATGAAGGCCCCTCAGGTGGAAGGCGCCCTCGGAGGGGAGGACCTTTTCCAAGGTTATTTTGCCGGGGTCGACGATGTCGCGGGCTTGAATGACTTGGACGTACCGAGAAGGATCTTAGGCGAATGTTCCTCGAGTTTCAGATTGACCAGCCAATTTCCAGCCCCCAGTGTTGATCGCGAGTGCAAACAGACTATCATTATTACGCTCCCGGAGGATGCACGAGTTTTTGCCGCCCCCGTAGGGGTGGCCAGTTACCTTCAAAGTCTGGTCACCGAGGAAGATCAAGCTCTGATGGACGAGGTGGGAGCACCATGTCTCTTCAATGAGGCCCATCAAGCTTTGAATCGGGCAAGCCCTAACTTTCTTTGTTAACGCTGGTCTTCATACTTGTGTTTTTATCTCCTTGCCTAATTCTTTCCCTTCTATTTGTGTAGGCCTCGGTACTTCATCAAGAGGCTTTCTTTAAGTCTTGAAGAGAGTTGAGCCGATATGAGGCTAAAATTCAAGGGCTTACCGAGGAGAAAAATGCTCTCGGGATTCTCGGCGAGCAAAGAGAAAAAGAAATCAAAGGCCTCCGAGCTGAGCTGGTCGTGGCCCAGAATGAACAAAGCAAACTGACCGAGCAGGTAAATAAAGTCTTAGACGCTTATGGCCTCGTTTGGGAGTGATGACTAATGATTCGATCTCACAGGTCCAGCAACTGCACGAAACAATCGTGCAACTCCGAGGAGAAATAGATGAGGTGAAGGCAGAGACTGCAGTGTGGAAGCAAAAGATGGAACGCCTTGCCTCAGAGAAAGAGGCTGCTCGAGCTCAGCTATCCTCAACCGAAAGCCAACTCCAGGGCATGAAAGAGAAGAACTTGGAACAAGCCAAGAAAATTGAGGAGCTACAGGCTCGGTTGGACACAGAGCTTGCAGTGGCGAAATCTGAGGTTGAGACGGCTAAGGCCGATGCTGAGGCGATCGCAGCTGTCTATCGATCTGACGCCGAGGCCGCTCAAGCTCTAGCAAAAGAAGTTACCGATGCTGCTCAGACTCGAGCATACTGAGTTGCTGAGCATGTCAAGTGCCAGTCTCGAAGAGAGACTCTTGAGGAGATTCATGCTCGTGGCTTTAACCTTTTTGTCAAGATCGAGAATGCGAAAGAGCTTGAGGCTGAAGCCAAAACGTTGCTCTCTTCTGATGACGATGATTCTGGGAGCGTAAGTGGATCCGAGAGCGGAGGAGATCCTGATGGTGAAGATGTATCTCCCGAGGAAAATTAGACACTTAGGATTTTTCTTTTTTGAATTTTTGTGTAGGATCCTGATCGGTCCTATGTAGATATTTTCATATATATAAAAGGTCTCTTTTCTTTCTGACTTGTCTTTATTTCAATTTTTGCCTTGTGAAAATTCTGTTTCATCCGTGTCTTGAAAACTTTCATAAGTACGAGGCTTGGGCAATTTGATCGAAGCCAGAGTAGTGTAGTCTTTATAATTGAGTGTGTACTTACTTGAACTCAAAGTAGGATGACCCTTGGGTTTTAGTTGAGAGAGAATGGCTTCCCAAGCTCAAAAAATAAAACGGCCCTTAGGCTCTTGAATTAGGCTGGTATGGCCTTACAGTAATTGAGTGAGGGTGATCCCTCGAACTCAAAAATAATATGGCCCTTAGGCCTTTGGGATTAGGCCGGCACGGCCTTAAAAGAATGGCTTTTTTCCCTTTTCGGCTAAAAAAAGTTAATCATATAGAAATTTGTTAT